CAGATTGAGTAGAGTTCCTGGCAGAGCCCCAACTCTACTAATCCAGACACTTAATCAAGAACCCAATCCGACTCTCCCTAAGAACTAACCAGTTCTTCCTGAGCAGTGGAAAGCGTTGCTGATCTCTTCCTTGAGATGTCTTTAAATAGGCTTCTGGAGCAGACCTTCGGTCTCTTTCTTCTTGAATGAATTTACCGTTTGAAGGAGGCTTTGACTGGCTTTGATTGGGAAACCCTATTTTCGGTGCTGAAGCTTTTTCTCGATGCTCTGATGATTTTGGTAAAGAGGAATGAGGGAGAGGACGCTCTCGGTGATCTTTGACGACTTAGGTAGAAGCATGGGCTTCGACTGAAGAGGCCTTTCAAATTGGGTCGTCGAGAAGGCAATGGGCCAGGGCCCAACAATCTCCCCCTGCGTTCGATCCTTCATTCCTGTAAAGAAATTATAGTACCATCAAAGTATCGAGTGGAGTTTCTTTAGATCATAAGCAGGAGAAAAATGTAAGCTGGCTTTAGTCATTATGAGTCAAGCAGGCATCAAATTTCAACTTTGTGATAACAATCAAATTCTGGATTCATCGAACTACAGCAAGAAAGTGAACCAGCTTTTGTCACAATGAGGCAAAACAAACATAATCATCACATCAAAATCTTGATCATTTATTTCTAGCTTAGACCTTTATGGTCTTTTTAAAGTAAATCACGCTTAGACCATTATGGTCTTTTAGAGCATATCATGCAAGAAGAACATAGAACAGCTAAAGTAGAAAGACACAAAGTGAATTGAGTTTTATGATTTCCTTCTCAAGATTAATCTTCTGGCACAGACTTTTGTTTAGGTATCTCCTAAGATTCAGTAATGCCTTCCATCTCCTCCTCCCCCTGAATTCCAGCTACTCCTTCCATCATGTCCCTCTCGAGTTCTTCAGCAAATAGTCTGACATCCTTGTCAGATGCAATTTCAGGTTCCAGTTCGGCTTCGTCTTCTTCAAATGAAATAATTAGGTTTTTTCGAACAGAGGAAGATGAGTTTCCATGTATCAGTGATCTAGACTTATTCTTTATGAGTCTGGAAGCTGCTGGATCAAGTGATTCTCCCCCTTTCGAAGGTTGAGCCTCAACACCAATGTAGTTGAGGACTGTGAGGGCCGAAACAGAGACAGAAGTCTCGAAAGAGGAGTAACCATCGAGAGATAATCCTAGGTTGGATAGAAACAGAGTGATGAAGCCTCCATAAGGAAGGAGGCCATCAAGATGAGCATCAGCACTTCGAACTATGGAGCCAAACAGAAGCTTGGAATAGTCGATTTTGCGGCCAGTTAGGGCGTTGGAAAGGACCCAGAGGTCGAGTTTGGTAACGATATGAAGCCCATGAGAGCGAGGTAGAAAAAATGAGTGATGAAGTAATGGAGAGTGCGAAGTGTTGGATTGAGATCAGCGGCAATAATGATTTCATTTTTTCCTACTCTACGCTGAGTAATGCGAGAGTATTCAATCTCATAGTCAAAGTCATAGAAGAGGAATTCATCCTCATGAGCTAGAGGCAGAGGCCCTCCAGTAGGAAGGTTGAGCAGAATGCCTATAGCCTCAGCAGTGAGGGAGATAAAATAACCATTCACAAGGGTCGTTATTTTTCTGGTGGTGATTCCTTGACAGTTAAGGTTTGCATAGAAAGTTTTGACAGGAAGAGGACAGGCAGCAAGTGGAGGATAATGGAGGAGGAATTCCCAACCCAGGTTCCTAATGAAGGGTGTAATATCAATTCCTAAGGCTTTGAACTCATAGAGATCGAGGGAGATGGGATCAGTAAGTCTTCGTGAGGCATAGAATTCTTTGAACCTATGAAGATTGAAGTCAATGGGCTCATTGAACATTCTTCCCACATAGGTGACAATTGCACCAGGAATGGTAGAGGAGGTGAATAGTTCTGTCATGTTTGTTTCTTTTTGTAAGAAGGGTCGAGGGTGGAGAGATCGGAGAGGAGACTAAGGGGGTTATATACACTAGGAGGGAAGAATACTAAGAGTTTTCACGATTATTTAGGAGGACTGTCATCAACAGTAGTCAACAAGCTAGCCTATTAAAATGCATGGGGAAATCAAACACCAAGTTCATTCAATCATCAGCGCAGAAAATTAAACATAAATAGCAAATTTATTGAATTTAGATAAAGAGATTGGAAGTGCAGAACCTGATTTATTGCTCATTCTGAATAGCGTGAAGAGACTGCAATCCAAGTTGATCACACAGACGAATGAAACGTTCAGAAGATAATGCTTTTGTAAAAATATCAGCAATTTGAAAATCGGTGGAGATAAAGTTTAATTCCACAAGACCAGCCTGAATTAGATCTCTTATGAAATGATGTTTAACTTCAAAGTGTTTTGTCCTACTATGATGGACAGGGTTTTTTTATATGCATATTGCACTAGTATTGTCACAAAAGACAGGGATTTTCTCAAAATTAAGACCATAATCACTTAATTGAGACTTTAACCACAGAATTTGAGTGCAACAACTGCCAGCAGCAATATATTCTGCTTCTGCAGTAGACAGGGCGACAGACCCTTGTTTTTTACTTGACCAAGACACTAGGGATCCCCCCAAAAAATTGACAGGTACCACTGGTACTTTTTCTGTCAGTTATGCTACCAGCAAAGTCTGAATCAGAGTAGCCTATCAGAGACAGACCCTCAGATTTTGGATACCATAATCCAAGATTATGAGTGCCTTTAAGGTATCGAAAAATTCTTTTCACAGCCACCAGGTGGCTTTCTTTAGGTTGACTTTGAAATCTTGCACACAGACAGACACTAAAGTGTATGTCAGGTCTGCTAGCAGTTAGGTATAGCAGTGAACCTATCATTCCCCTATACTTTTTTTCACAGACAGGTTTTCCATCAAGATCATGATCCAGATGAGTGTTTGATGCAATTGGTGTTTTACAAGGTTTGACATTCACTAGGTCGAATTTGGTTAGCATAGACTGGAGGTACTTAGTTTGATGAATGAAAATTCCAGAAGACGTTTGATGAATTTGCAAACCAAGAAAGAAAGATAATTCTCCCATTAGACTCATCTCAAATTGATTTTTCATGGTAGAACAGAATTCATTGCACATATTAGGGTCAGTGCTCCCAAAAACAATATCATCTACATACACTTGGACAATCAAGGAATGATTTTCTTTTCTTTTAATGAAAAGAGTTTTGTCAACACCACCTTGAGAGAATCCTTGGGATATCAGAAAGGAGGTTAGCTTTTCATACCAAGCTCTAGGAGCTTGTTTAAGACCATAAAGGGCTTTGGAGAGCTTAAAAACATGATCTGGAAATTCAGAGTCAATGAAGCCAGGGGGCTGTTCCACAAACACATCTTCCTTAATTTCTCCATTTAGGAATGCACTTTTTACATCCATTTGATAGAGTTTAAAGTTCATTAGGGTAGCATAGGCACAAAGGATTCTAATTGATTCTAACCTAGCTACAGGGGCAAAAGTCTCATTATAATCAATTCCTTCCTCTTGATTATATCCCTGAGCAACTAACCAGGCTTTGTTTTTAATGATAAAACCTAATTCATCAGATTTGTTCCTAAAGACCCACTTAGTGCCAATGATTGAGGTGTTTATAGGTCTAGGAACAAGTTCCCATACTTTTAATCTGATAAAATGAGATAATTCTTCTTGCATGGCAAGTAACCATTCTTCATCAAGAATAGCTTCCTTGTAGTTTTTTGGTTCAAGTAAGGAAACGAAAGCATACTGACCTGGGATGTACTTACCTCTGGTGTGGGTGGGATCACACAGATTACCTATAATTTGAGAAGGAGGGTGTCTTTTCCTGATGTAGCCAGGGGCTTCATGATTCTCATTCGAATCCGTTTCAGAGGTTGCAACAGGGGGGGGGGGCAGAATCTTCTTTAGAATTTTCACCTGTCTCAAGACAAGGGCTAAGAGGAATAAAGTCATAGTTGTTTAAATCTGAGTTCAAAGGTAGTGAAGGATGAGATAGATCAAACTTGACATGGACTGACTCTTCTACTTTCCTTGACCTCTTATTAAAGACTCTATAAGCCTGACCCTTACTTGAATACCCAAGAAAGACACCAATGTCAGATTTGGCATCAAACTTTCCTATTTGATCCTTAGTATTCAGAATGTAGCACTTAGTACCAAAAGGATGAAAGTAGGATAACTTAGGTAATTTTCCTTTTAATATTTCATAGGGTGTCTTATTAACATTCTTTCTAATGGTGGTCCTGTTTAGTACATAACAAGCAGTGTTTACTGCCTCTGCCCACAGAAACTTAGGGCAATCAAAATCAAGAAGCATAGTTCTTGCAGTTTCAATTAGGGATCTATTTTTCCTTTCCACAACCCAATTTTGTTGTGGGATTCTGGGGGCAGAGAGGGTGTGTAGGATACTCAGGTTTATGGTGTGCTTTTGAAACTTTTGTGGTTTGCTTTGCGAAGTTTCTGGTTTGTTTTAATAGATTTGTGGTTTGCATTAGAAGGTTTTTGGTGTGCTTTTGAAAAATTTGTGGTTTGGTTTGTGAGGTTTCTGGTTTGTTTTAATAGATTTGTGTTCTGCATTAGGAAGAATCTGGTTGTTTTATGTGGTTTGTTTTGTCGTGTTTGTGGTTTGCATTATGTAGTTTTTGGTGTGCTTTTGAAAATTTTATGGTTTGCTTTGTTAGATTTCTGGTATGTTTTATCGCATTTATGATTTGTATTAGGAGTTTTCTAGTGTGCTTTAGAACTATGTGTGGTTTGCTTTATAGTGTTTCTGATATGCTTCAGCCACTGCTCCGAGATTATCCAGAGGCCTCCCTTTCATAAGCTTGCTTACTTCAATATGCTGTTAGTCGAAGGAAAACATGAAATCAAAAGCACATAAAAAACTATTAAAAAATCCTATTGCTAGTTTCTGCTACTGCCTACGGTGTTGCCAAGTCCCGTCTCCGGCAAATTCATTCTTTGCCCCCACCGCCGCCGCAAAGATGGCTTCACCGGCGAGCAGGAACCAAAAGTCCAAGAAATCCAAGTCCAATCATTCTCTAAAGGAGCTCAAAGCCTTTGGGCAGCAGTTGATCTCTTCCAGAAACCACGTCAACAACCTTCCCATCCTCCTCAACTTCATCTCCCCTGAATTCCCTCCTCAATACGTATCAGATGAAAATCCCCAAAACCCGATTTTAATCACAACGGCTACTTGCAGGCCTAGCTGGTCCGACATCGTTTCAGGAAGGGCGAGTGTATTGAAGCCAATGACGTCGTCTCGGGACAAAGGGAAGCAGAAGGTCGATACGCCGTCGTTGTGACCAAGAGACAAACACAGTGTCACTTTCTTCCTTGTACTTTCGTTTCAGAACTCTGTTCTCCTTTTTCCTTTGCTGTAATCGACAGCTCACAGAAGCTTGTCTTCTTCCTTCATTTCCTTGTATAAAACCCGAAAGATGATCATGAGAAATCAAGTTAGGGTTTTACACCACACATTTGTTGTTATGGTATCATAGCAACCCTAGCCGCCGCCTCCCAAATGGTCGCTCAAGAAGCACATCCAAACATGGATCCCATGTCGGATCCTTTCTTTCTTCATGGTTCTGATCAACCAGGGTTGCTGTTGGTAGGTGAGAAGCTGACCACCACCAACTACAACGACTGGAGCAAGGTTATGCTCAACGCATTGGCCGCCAAGAACAAGCTTGGCTTCATCCATGGCACACTCGTGGCCCTTGCCCCAACAGATGTTTCCTTTTCTTCCTGGACAAGAAACAATGTCATGGTCCTCAGTTGGATCCAACAGGCAGTCGATCCCCTCATCAAGAAAACCATCATGTCCTGCAAACTTGATTCGAGTTGTGACCAAGGGGACATGATTCGAGTTGCAGAGCTGATTGGCGCCATTGCCACCATCAAGCAAGGTAACCAATCTGTGACTGAATACTATGGGAATCTCATAGCCCTGCAAGATGAACTGGATAATTATCAACCCATAGCTCCCTGTCGCTGCACAGACACCAGTCACACAACCTGTGTTTCCATGAATGCTATTTTTGGTTACAAAGATGTCAATTCAGTTATCCAGTTCCTTCGTGGCTTGAATGATAATTTTGAAACTGTGAGATCCCAAGTACTCTTTGGAGACACCTTGCCATCAATAGACAGGGTCTTTCAACGTGCTCTCCAACACGAGAGACAACTGTTTGGTACCCAACAAGGCCAACTGGTCACAGCTGAACCTTCAGCATTTGCTGCTCAGGGCTACAAACGCCCATTCCCTTCTGGCAAACGCCCTCACTGCACCTTCTGTAACACACCTGGTCATACAGAAGAAACATGCTACCATAAGCATGGTTGGCCACCAGGCTACACTCCAAGGGGATCCACTGCTCCCTCCACTCCTTCTTCTAAACCCCCTGAATGCACCTTTTGCAAACGCATAGGGCATACTGAGGAGAAATGTTTCAAGAAACATGGTTATCCACCCCCTTCCCAGTCCAGACCTCCAGGTCCTCCAAGACCAAGGTCCTCTATCAATACTGCTGACAGTCACCCTTCACCTGAACCTGTCCAGGAGTTCAAACTCACCAAGTCAGAGTATGACAAACTGATGTCTCTCATGAATGAGACCATGAAGGGCAAGTCCTCCCACTCAGCAGCTCTTACCACTCATTAGACATCTGGCTCATCAGGTAACCCTTCCTGCAATATCACTCATCACACTGGCACGGTCATTCCATGGATCATTGATACTGGTGCCACTGACCACATTGTCAATTCCATTTCCTTTCTTTCTAATTCACAACAAGTACATCATATTTTCATAAATCTCCCCACTGGTGATAGAGTTCAGGCCACACATAAAGGCCAAATCAAATGCCTTGATGGTTTGACTCTTCATGATGTCCTTTTTGTTCCCCAATTCACCTTCAATCTCCTCTCAGTGAGCAAGCTCACAACTACCAGCTCTCTCAGCTTAACTTTCTCTTCTGATTCTTGCACTATACAGGACTTGAAGCTGAGGAGAGTGACTGGTTCTGCTAAGCTCCTCCATGGCCTTTACCACCTCAATCTTCCTTTAGATTAGGGGTGGGAAACGGTGCGGTCCGGTCCAGACCAAACCATAGATACGGTCTGTGGTCCAGACCGAGAGGTTGGAACACAGACCATGGACCAGACCATATACTATACGGTCCAGACCAGACCACACCTGTGCGGTGCGGTCCGGTATGGTCTGGACCAGACAGACCATGTTAAAAAAAATTAACTCTTGTTCGCCCTCTAACCCTTCACCGGTATCTATAAAAAAAATCTAGTGACCAATATGCTAGTGAAACAAAAAATTGTGATCGTATTAAATGAGAAGAAATATGAGGATAGAAGTGGGTTTTTTCAATTTTCAAATAGCCTTATTTCTCTATTCCTCTTTGTGCTACGGCTTCTCTCCTCTCTCGAGTGATCTGAAGGTTCTCCCAGTTGATAACCTTTTTTATGACATCGAGGTAATTTCGGACCACTAAGATGGTCGCATATCTCTCAATAATTTTCCTTATCTCATCAAGGTGAACGAATCTTTTTGTAGTGTTTAATTTTTATCGACTCCATAGTCTAGACATTATCTGTGAATATTATATATGAGTCTTTCTAATTTTTGTGTGGTACTTTTATAAGGAGATAACATATAAGCGATCATTTTGCAATTTGTTGGCTCTCAACTAGATGAAGAATCGACTAACTTTGTTCTTCAAATACACATATGGAGGTTCAATTTAGTGTTATTTTTGTCCAAGGTAGTAGGTAGTGTGTCGCGGTCTGTTACGTTTTACTGCGGTAGAGCGCGGTCCAGACCACTTCAGACCACGCACTAAAGGAGGAGACCGCAAACCAGACCAGACCAGACCATAGTTCTGGTCTCACGGTCCAGACCAAACCATACGATACGGTCCAGACCGCGGTTTCCCATACGGTTTGGTCTGGATTCCCAGCCCTACTTTAGATAGTACACCTAACCACATCACAGCAGCTGTTAGTTCCCCCACTTTTGACATTTGGCATTTCAGACTTGGACATGTCTCCCATAGCAGAATACCACAGCTGAAACTACTTTGTGATTCCATAGAAACCAACAGTTTATTACCCTGTGATGTTTGCCATTTTGCCAAGCAAAAACGGCTTCCTTTTCCATCAAGCACAACTGTAACCACTACTTGTTTTCAACTCATACATGTAGACATCTGGGGTCCAAACTCTTCTCCTACATATGATGGTTTTAAATATTTTCTTACCATTGTGGATGATCATTCCAGAATGACTTGGCTGATTCTTCTTCAATCCAAAGCAGAAGCCAGACCAAAATTGCAAAACTTCCGCACAATGGTCACAAACCAGTTTTCCTGTTATGTTAAAACAATTAGAAGTGACCAAGGGAAGGAATTCCTAATGACAGATTTTTTTGACCAAACTGGAATCATATATGAAATGTCATGCATAGAGACACCCCAACAAAACAGCAAAGTCGAGCGCAAACACCAACATATCCTAGCTATAGCTCGAGCCTTAAAATACCAGGCAAACATTCCAATTGGTTTCTGGGGAGACTGTGTCAAACATGCTGTCTTTCTCATCAATAGGGTTCCAACCCCAGTTCTTAACAACCTAACCCCCCATGAAAAACTCCACCACAAGCCACCTGATCTACAAGACTTAAAATTTTTTGGCTGCCTCTGCTATGCTTCCACCATTACCAGTCATAGAACTAAGTTCCAAGAAAGAGCCAGAAAAGGTGTTTTCCTGGGTTACACTCCAGGAATCAAAGGGTACAGGATATACGATCTGATGACCCATGATATATTCACCTCTAGGGATGTCCATTTCTATGAAACAGAATTTCCATTCCATTCCACCCCTTCCTCATCTTCTCATTCAGTACCCTCTCCACCAACCTACACCTATCCACTCCCATTCTCTTCTGACACACCAGAACCAATTCCACATAACCATTACCCCCACCTCCTCCTCCTCCTGATCCTCAGCCCCTTACCAATCAATCTCCTCCCACAGACCTTCCCATTGCTATCAGAAAACCCACCAGAACTATTAGACAACCTTCTAAACTCCAAAACTACCATTGCAACCTACTTCAGCAGGCTTCTTCCTCCAGTCATTCTCTTCAGCAACATGTTCCGGGTATCACCTACCCTCTTTCTGATGTAATTGATTACAATTCATTGTCTCCACCATATCTTAAATTCATTCTTAACATCTCATGTTACAAAGAACCTGAGACTTATGAAGAAGCTGCACAAAGACCAGAATGGAATCAAGCAATCAATCACGAGATTGATGCTCTTGAACAGAATCAAACTTGGGATGTTGTGAGCTTACCTGCCAATAGGAAACCTCTTGGAAACAAATGGATCTTCAAATACAAGTTCCTTTCTGATGGCAGTCTTGAGAGAGAAAAGGCAAGACTAGTTGCCAAAGGGTATAATCAACAAGAGGGCATTGATTACCAATACACCTTTGCCCCAGTGGTTAAAATGACTACAGTCAGACTCTTCTTAGCAATTGCATCAGCCAAATCCTGGCATGTTCACCAACTGGATGTGAACAATGCCTTCCTCCATGGAGATCTCACTGAGGAAGTATACATGAAGCTCCCAAAAGGATACAAAGCTCCACCCCACATCAAAAACCCTGTTTGCAGGTTAAAGAAATCTCTCTATGGCCTTAAGCAGGATTCAAGGCAGTGGTTCTCCAAGCTTGCAGATAGTCTCACTAGTCTTGGCTACACACCAAGCCAGGTTGATCATTCTCTTTTCTATAAGTCCACTGGTTCAAATTTCACCTGTGTTCTGGTATATGTGGATGACCTTGTTGTCGGAGGCACTGATCTGACAGAGATAAACACCCTCAAGCAGTTCCTTCACACCACCTTCAGCATCAAAGACCTTGGTCCCCTCAAGTTTTTCCTTGGAATTGAGGTTGCCAGGAACTCATCAGGCATTCATTTGTCTCAAAGGAAGTACACTCTTGAGATCCTCGAAGAGGGTGAAGTTCTGCTCTCCAAACCAGTCTCCACTCCCATGGATTACAAGCTCCATCTTTCTGCCAACCATTCTGACCCCTATCCAGATCCTTCATACTGCAGAAGAATTGTTGGCAAACTGATCTATCTCACCACCACCAGACCTGACATCAGTTTTGCTACCCAACAACTTAGCCAATACATGTCAAACCCCAACAATCAACACTTTCAAGCTGTGGGCAGAGTTTTGAGGTACTTAAAATCGGCTCCAGCCACTGGTCTATTCTTCCCAGCATCCTCTGATCTCCATCTCAAGTCCTTTTGTGACTCTGATTGGGCCGCCTGTATGGATACACGCCGCTCTGTCACTGGCTATTGCATCTATTTGGGTTCTTCCCTGGTCTCATGGCGCAGCAAGAAACAAAAGACCATCTCACGTTCTTCCTGTGAGGCTGAATACAGGGCCATGGTCGATGCCACTTGTGAACTTCAATGGTTGCTATACCTTCTCCGAGACTTCCAAGTTCCACATTCAATTCCTGCAATTCTCTACTGCGACAACCAATCTGCTATTCATATCGCAGAGAATCCAACTTTTCATGAACGCACGAAGCACATCGAAATCGATTGCCACCTCGTGCACGAAAAGCTCCAGAGTGCAACAATCAAGCTACTCCATGTCTCTTCTCTTCACCAGCTGGCCGATCTTTTCACCAAGGCTCTGCCACCTGCGATATTTTCTACTCTTCTCTCCAAGCTTGGTGTGCACAATCTGTGCCCACCTGCTTGTGGGGGGTATCATATGAAAATCCCTAAAACCCGATTTTAATCACAACGGCTACTTGCAGGCCTAGCTGGTCCACATCGTTTCAGGAAGGGCAAGTGTATTGAAGCCAACGACGTCGTCTCAGGACAAAGGGAAGCAGAAGGTCGATACGCCGTCGTTGTGACCAAGAGACCGACACAGTGTCACTTTCTTCCTTGTACTTTCATTTCAGAACTCTGTTCTCCTTTTTCCTTTGCTGTAATCGACAGCTCACAGAAGCTTGTCTTCTTCCTTCATTTCCTTGTATAAAACCCGAAAGATGATCAATGAGAAATCAAGTTAGGGTTTTACACCACACATTCGTTGTTAATACGTTCTCGAATCCCTTCTCTCTCTCCAGTCCTTCTTCACTCGTCGAGGGAATTGATTCAGGGCGGCTTCTCTTCGACGACGACCAGCGACGGCGCACCAGGATTCGTTTGGATCCCGATTTACCTTCTCGCCGGCTTCTCTTCGACGACGACCAGGATTCGTTCGGATCCCGACGAGCGAGCAACAGCATGGCACAATGCAATCGGAAGACCGACAATTACAAGCGAACGACGACAGCCAGATGGAGGGGAGAAGAAGAAACTCTGCCGCCGCCCATATCTCATTTTGGAAGAAGAAGAAGAAGAAGAAGAAGAAGAAGAAGAAGAGGGGAATTTGTTATTCATCCTCCGCCGCCGCTCAGATTTCCTTCTTATTTCAGAATTGAAGAGAAAAAAGGTCTTGATCTCCTCTGTTCCACCAGATTGAAGCAGTGATAGTAGCTAGAATCAGGGCAGCGGGGAGGAAGAAGCGGAGCGATGGTGGTGAGAAAGATAGATCTGATCGGGATATTAGAGAGAGTTGTTGAAGAGTACTGTTGATCTGGAGAGGAGAGTCGAAAATTGACGATCGAGGAGGATCTGGGTTTTTTCGAGTGTGAAGACAGCGACGGTGGAGGAGGAACGAAGTCCTAAGCAGCTGACGGCGGCATCGTCGCGAAGCTTTGGGCAGGGGAAAGAACGGCGGAGTTGCTGGGAAGCCAGAATCGGAGGTTGAAGGAGATACACGAATCGGTAGGTATTATGAATATATTTTAATTGAATTTTTATTGTCATTTTACTGTTATATCATTGGAGCACTTCTACTATGCTATATAGTATTGGTGCTTTAATGTACAACTTAAAGTTGTACCATAACATTAAATGTATAAGTTTAGGTTGTACCATAAAGCAATTTGTATCATTATGTTATGGTACAACTTTACAACTTGAAGTTGTACCATCACATAAAGGTACAAGTTCAAGTTGTACCATAAAGAATTTGTACAAAATGTATAGGTACAATCTGAAGTTGTACCATAACGTAAATGTACAATTTTAAGTTGTACCATAAATGCATATCCCTATAGCACCAACACTATATAGCATTGTAAAATTTCTCATATCATTGTTGTTAGTATAACGACAGTTAAAGTGTTGTTATAGTATTCGCACCCACAATTTAGCTAGTATCTTTCATTCACGAGTTATCATCGAATTGATCGCCACTAGCATAGCTGCGCTGATTCCCTACATTGTCCCGCCCGCTCTTCTTCTTCCTCACTCCGCTCGATCGGAACTTTGGAAGAGCTTCTTCTACTCACTGACCGACGACTATGTTTCGCTTCCCCGTATCTTCTCGAAACCCCTAAACCCCAGAGCCCCCATTCCCAAAATCCCTAAAATGTTGCTCACCTCTCAGCAGCAACTCTTCATCAACTCGCCACCTCCACAAATAAGCCCTCTTTGTAGCAACACTTCCGGAACTACCCTGAAACTCTCCGTCCAACACCCCTGTCTCCGCCCTTCACTCAATTCCTCCCTCCGTCTCGCCGGGTACGAGCCCCAGTCGCCGCCTTGGAATTCCACCGTCAGACCCCGAAACTTCAGTCCTTTCGCATACGGATCCGACGACTCAATAACCACGCCGAGCAGCGCCGGCGCCGGCGTGACACTCGATGCTTGTCTGGCAATCGCGGAGTTCTTATGCATCTTCTCGTCGGCGATTGTCACGGTGAGCTACGCGCTGAACTGTACTGTTCTAAGCGGGAGAAAGACAGCTTCGGCGGTGTTGGGGGTGATAGGGAGCAATGGTGCCTTCGCGTGGGGGGTGCTGCTGCTGCTAAGCGGCGTGGTGATTGGGGGCTGGATAAGGCGGCGGCAGTGGAGAAGGATTTGCAAGGAATCGGCGAGGGAAGGTCGAGATAGCGTGAATTTGCTCGAGAGAATTGAGAAGTTAGAAGAGGATTTGAGGAGTTCTGCTACCATTGTTAGGGTTTTGTCCAGGCAGCTTGAGAAGTTGGGGATCCGGTTCCGGCTGACCAGGAAGGCTTTGAAAGAGCCTATTGCCGAGGTATATCCAACTCATTTCCCACTTCATTTCTTCAACTTTTAACTTCTAGTTTGATCCATCTAGAGTCATTTGCTAGAAATGCAAGATAATTTGTTTAGGATTACGTGAGTTAGCTATAGAAACTGTGAATAACTCTTGTTGTAGCCAAAGGCATTAAAGCTTTCTTCTTCCTATTGGCTTGCTTGTACACTAGGACTCAGGCATTCCTTCCTAGGATTAACTCTAGCCTTTCCCTTTTTCCTTTCCCGTTTGGGAATCAATGATCAGGATTCGAAGTGCCACTTTCCTGATAGAAGTATAACAACTAAAATATGCTCTGATTGTTTACTTAGCAGCTTGATGAGATCGCATGTTATGAAGCTAAACTGATGTATGACTGTATCTTATTCTTGACTTAGCTTGGACATCAGTATGGGTGCTTCATTCGCTGCAAGTAAAGAAAGACCACAGATTGAGTTTGGTCAGACAGCTAACTTAAGCAGTAACTCAATATTCGATGCTTTTGTTTGGACTGTTTATTGTAAGAACAATTTTGTGGTGTCTTCCTTGTAGACAACAGCGGTATCATTAACAATGAGCTTTAGGCTAGGGGGGTATATCACTGAATTTTCCAAAGGATTAATCACGTGATGGGCTTTGGAGTTGTATACTTTTAACTTATTTCTGCCCATCTATGGAGGGTGAGATCCTAACTCCTCTTTGTGAACACTTCAAGGCTGCAGCTTTGGCTCAAAGGAATTCCGAAGCAACCCGTGCATTAGCAATGCAGGAAGACATTCTGGAAAGGGAACTTGGTGAAGTTCAGAAGGTTCTCCTTGCAATGCAGGTAGCCTTATGTAACCTGCTCTGTGCACCTTAATGCCAAAGGCAAAAGTTGCTCAAGTTCCTTGTATATGTGTGTAAATGTAGTTGATTTTTAGATAAGGCTGTCACTTTTAACGACCAACGCTTGTCTGTTGTTGCTATCTAGAATTAAAAAAAAAATGTTCAACTTGCTGAACAAAAAACTGTTAGTGTGTTCTGGAAAGTTGTTTTTGACATCTCAGAGACGTAGTTGTTTGACTTGGCTTGTGTTCGAGTACATTTTGTAGGAGCAGCAAGAAAAGCAACTGGACCTGATTCTTGCAATTACTAAGTTTGGAAAATTATCGGGCACTAAGCAAGAACACAGGCCGCAACAAGATGTGGTTAAATCATCTCAACTCACTGAAGAAGTAAAACAGTTTGATACCCATGAACGTCAAGTGTCTGGTGCAAGAAAGGGAACCAACAATGACACATCATAGCTACATCTCCTTTTGGTCAAACTAGCGTATGAAGTGGACACAGTGTTTTGGTTTTGGATGAGTTGCAGTATCGATCCCCTGGAATTTCTTCAAGTCATTGTATGTTGAAGTGAAAGAGAGCTCATAGTCAAGTGGAATTTTGCAAGTTATAGTATGTTGCAGCGCTCGTGGTCAAGTTCTCAAATTTCAGGGAGTTCAGAGGTCATATCCAATTTCCCGGAGTTAAATTCTACCTGGTGCAACTCCGCGGTATTGCTTCTCCAAATGCACTTTCATTCCTGTCGAAGAAAGTGCATTCCAAAAAGCTGAACAGACTTAAACAGCTTGGAATGGGGTGTTCATGAATTCTTGGTTGCACCACTGAGACCAAATTTGTTCGTTATGGTAAGCCCCCTGTTGATGCAATTTGGGTATTTAATGTGGGAGAGGCAGTCTTTATTCTGAGTTTGCGTAGCTTTTATGAAGAACTATTCCTGGAACGAAGATTTTATTGCCAACTTTGTAATGCGCGATAGAAAGTCGAAGCGGTGGAAAGATTAACAAGTTACCACCAATTGCACATTTCGTGACTTAAATTATATAAATCTTTTACTTTTTGTCATTCGAAACCATGTCACGCCGGCCGGTGTGCCACTGATTGAATCTGGTTCAACCTGTACCGGTCATAAAACCGGTATGGCACCACCGGTATGACCGACATGATCGATATACGAATCTCTAAGTAAAATGATCTTATATTAGTGAATTTATTTGATAAAAAGTAATTTATTATTTATTTTATGTGTTAAATAGTTAAATGTTGATGTTATTTGTTGGATTCAAGTACAAATATTTAGGTATTAACGTTAAATGCCGTGCTTAAATATGAGTATTTGTAAATTATTTGTAATATTAACCGGCATGAACCGGCACAAACCGGTATGTACCTCCGGTTGAACCATTCCACTTGCTAAACCGGCACACTGGCACAAACCGGTTTGACAACCTTGTTCGAAACTTTTTCATTCTTATTCGTTATTAGTTTTACGAACCGTTTCTCCCTTTCCTCTCTCTCTCACGCCATCTTTTTTCTTCCTATTCTTCTTCTTCTTCCTCCCATCTCTTCCCTCTCTTTCTCACAATTCTGCAAACCTTCATCAATCTACTCCTTCTACCACCACCATTACTATCACTACGATTCACCTTGTGAGCCCCCTTCCTGTACTCAGCCTCCAACTCTCCCAAAACCTCCAAATTCGCCATCAAAACCTCGGAGCTCATCTCCAGCACCAACGTCCCGCCTCTCCTCCCTCTCAACCTCACGTCAAACGAATCCCCTCCTCCGCCGCCGCCGCCCGGATCCAACCCGAAATGACCCGAACCCGACCCGAGGCCGCCTCCTGTAACCCGCAGGCCGCAGCCATCACGGCCTCCTCCTCCCATCACCACCGCCGTTGCAACCCTCCCGCTGCCCTATGTCTCCCACCACCACCGTCACCACGAGGTCACCGCCTCTCCCCTGCCTCCCCCTTTCGTCATCCCTGATTTTTTGTTTTTCAGATCTGTGATTTTTCATATTTCAGATCTGATTTTTTTGTGCTAGTCTCTAGTGGTACGCTACCAGTGGCAATGGTACCGCTACCAGTGGCAATGGTACCGCTACCAGTGGTACTGGTACTGGTACCGCTACTAGTGGTACTGGTACTGCTAATGGTACCGCTACCAGTGGTACTGGTACTGCTAATGGTACCGCTACAAGTGGTAATGATACCGTACCACTAGCACTGGTACATTTTTTAACGCACTAGTAGCGTACCACTAGCACTGGTATATTAATTACCAGTAGACTAATGGATTGTTACACTTTTTAACGCACCGGTACATTTTTCAGGTTGCCGGAGGGAGTCTGGCGGAGACAATTCGCAGGAGAAAAAGTCTATCTATCGAAGCGGAGTGGCCGCAGGAGAAAGGAAGAGAGAGATAGATAGAGATATTAATGTATAGGATTTAAATTTCAAAAAAATTGTATTTAATATGGGGTTTTAATTCCCAATCTGATTAATACAAAAAAAAAGTAATTAATATATTCCTTTTTTTCATACCCAAAATACCCTTGGTTTGTCACCGTATCCGGTCCCGGTTTTTTCCACTTCTAAGCTACCCAAAGCTCTTTACTACACACGTAATTTCATTTAGTTTTAGCATAATTTAATTGAGTTAGAGGTGGAAAGATTGGGGAGCGGGTATGGTAGGGCACGAAAACTCTGCCTCCAAAATCATGCAAAACGTGAACAATGATATAATATAATCGAGAGTTTTGCATGGTTTTACAGCTGAAAGATTCTTAATAAATTATTTATTCCTGAAGTAAGTTAATCAAGAAAGGCTAGACCTTGATCTGAGTTCTTTAGAAGATGATCCGGGTTTAAGAGAACAACTTTTATGCTTTTATCATATGATATGATGAATGTATTTTACATACTCTTCACAATTTGAATTCACATTGTGGTCATTGTAAAACATTAATATAAGCTATGTTGTGATTTCTATGTTGTGATTTTCTTTTTATAGTTGGTACCACCTTAGCAAAATTTCTATCTACGCCACTACTGGATGGACTGATAGAAAGCTGAATCACGCAATTGGATCGCTTAGTCAGTCGGGAGCAGTTGTGGTGCACAACCATGCATAACGTTCCACATCAACGCCAACTCATAATTTATGAAAGACTTTAATATTTTCCATTCTAAATTTTAAGGGGCTATAGCTCTCTCGTTTTAAGTCGGAATTTGATTTTTTGGTATAGATAAATTTGATTAATTGTGCTCTTCAAAATTATATCCACTTTGGTATATTTTTTGAATATAATTTTTTTGAGACATTTAGCACTAGTTTGTACCATGGTGGTATTGTTTTGTATTTACATGAGAGCATACCACATGGTATGAAAGTGTATCGTGGTGGTATGAACATACCAGACTGTAGAATGGTTGAATACATGATAGTATGAATATAATAACTATCATTTACAACTTTCAACATTGTGTACCACAAGATACCACCCCAGACATTTTTTGGTCATGTATTTTTTACCTAGAATGCAATAGATCATGATGAACAAGCTTTTTCTATGCAAAAAATTTCAAAATTGACTTAAAAAAAGAGATACCATATGGTATGGAGGTGGTAACAAGTGGTATGAATTTTTTTCTCGAAATGTATTGAAAATGGATTAAATTTTGTAGAGCACAATAAACTCGTTTTATTTGTGCAATTTTGTTTGAAAAATCCTATTTAAAACGAAGAAAATAAGAACCGGTTAAGATAACTAAGGAAAATAAAAAAAGTCATTAATTCTCAATTTCTCACCTCTTAGATATGATGCCCACTTAAAATGAAATGATAAGATTTAGTTGTGCATAATATTAATATGCACCGTAGAGTTATGAACGTATCTGTAGCCTAGTCAGTCACAATACCTCAACAAGCAATTGATGAAGACTTGTTATTTTGATTTTGATTTAATTTTTGTTTACTTAGGGGTCGTTCGGAAGTTGCGATTGTTTTGTTGAGATTGTCATTATGCATGTATTGTTTACAATGCATCGTTTTTTTTTAGCAGAAACAATACATGGATTGTTTCTGTGATGTGACAGAAACTATCACTCATTTTGAGTGATTGTTATATCTCAACTTTTAGTTGTGATTGTTGAGATAGTTGAGTTGAGATTGTTTTGTCTCAGCTTTTAGCTGATGCGACATACACAATCACGCATACCAAACATTGTATTCTACAATGCTTCAAATTCGACAATACATGTATAATATTATACATGCATACTCAACAATACATCTATTTAACAATCGCAACTTCCAAACGACCCCTTAAGAAAATTCTATGACTTTAGTTTACATCAAGGAATTTAGATAAGGTTAGAAGAAAGAAGGGGGTTGACTATCATTATTCCTCTTCGTCTTCCTTCCTTTTCTTCACTTTTGGAGATGCTCGATCGTACATGGGAGGCGTGTTACGATGACGTAGGGAATGACATTTTTAGGGGTTTTTCGTAAAAGAAATAAAGCGCAAAAAACTTGCAAAGAAAATAACTAAGAAATAGCAAATAAAAGAACGAAATCTAAATATTTGAGTTCCAATCTTCTTATCATTAAACGAACAAAACAACTACAAGTACATATTTATAGGCTACAGAATCCTGAAATTCCCTTTCCTTTTCCTACTGGGTCGGCGACCCTTTTCTTTCTTTTCCTATCACAATTATGAAACCTATTCTATAAGGAATATATATATATATATATATATATATATATATATATATATATATATTAAATCCTAAACACACAAGTACTAAGAAATCCCAATCTACTACTAACAATTAATCATAATACGAAATACCAAAAATACCCAAATAATATCCCAATTACGACTAATAATAAAAAATACTAAAAGATACCCAAGCCCAGTCTTCTACGAAATGCTACGATGACCCGATCTCGTAACATCCTCCCTCATTGAGCACAACCTTGCCCTCAAGGTTGGTCTTCTTCCTCGATGAACTTGCCCCCCTCATCCTTAGCACATGCGCCAATCATGAGAAGGACGTTGTTATTCGCACAATGGTGGCCAATGGTGAAGTGCTCATCCCAATGGAAGCACAACCCTAATAACGTATAATATAAGGGCTTCACGGAAAATAACGTATAATATAAGGGCTTTGGAGAGAATAATCTTAGCTAAGGGACTTGTGTGTAATCTTTGCTTTAGTACATAAACTAAAATGTATTTAACCTAACCTAGTGAGGGATCTAGCAAACAGAACGGCGGAAGGAGGGAAATCGGGAGGCTCTAGACTTCACTCTTCAGTGAATAGATTGAAAGGAAGAGAAAAGGAGGGTCTAATCGAGCATCCGACGCCGGTCGTAGGCGCCGCCTTCGGCTACCTATCACTGCCGATTGGAGAAGCTATTGCTGGATTTCATGGTGTTCTGTGCTTCGATGTGCGAGTTGTGAAGTATCTCCCTCTTAAGCATTTGCTATTCGAGTAAGAAGCCGAGCTGTCGCTGTTCCGTTGATTTTTGTTTGGTGCGAATGCTTTGACGCTCTAGTGTTTTCCCGTAAGCTTCAAGTTTCGAGCTTTTCGATGCCTTCGTTTAATTATTGACTGGCTAAATATAAACTCAAATCAGGCTTAAGCTGGGATTAACGGCTTCCAATGCCCTTTAGCTTCACCCTTGCTGCATTTGCTTATCTCTGAAATTGTGGATTTCAATGTCATTTGTAATGTTGCTCTCCCTCTGCAACTTGAAGGCTAAGTTTGGTTGTTTGTTGGTGAAGGGAAGCAAAGCTTGAAAAACCTTCATACTTATCAAACTTAACTTTGGGATAATGGAGTGTGTGGTTCAAGGAATAATCGAGACTCAGGTTGGTGCTTTTCTCTGTTACTGCTGATGCTAGGTTTGACCGAGTTATAGGAGGATTTTTCTGTGTAATAACTTAATGGGATCTGGTGCTTTGAAGTTGCTATGTTCTGTTCCCTACTTGACGAATCAGTTTGTTTGTTTGTTTGCATCCTTTTACAGCATGTGGAGGCGCTAGAGATACTTTTGCAGGGTCTTTGTGGAGTTCACAGAGAACGTTTAAGGGTCCATGAGTTATGCCTCAAAAGCGGTCCTAATCTAGGTGAGATTTGGCAGGAAAATAAGTTCACAAGGTTTCTATACATATTGGTGTTAGCCTTGATCAACTTTTGCTCTCTCAATTGATCTGGGTTGGAGCTCTTAAAATGTTACTTCTGAAAATCCAAGACAAAATTGGTTCGTTTCCAGCGATACCTTCTTATATAATTGAGGCTTTCCTTACGCTACTTGGTATAGTCTAGCTATCTTAAGTTTGTCTTCTGAACGTACAAGTGTGAAGTTACCATCTTTTCTCCCGACTCCCGAGTTCAGGATATCTGTAGTACCTGGTTACTAGTTGAACCTTTTCTAAGCTGGATGTTCCTGTCTTACGGAAACTGCATGCGGTTCCTTTTGCAGGACCAGTTGCTTCTGAAGTTCGGCTGTTGTGCGACCTTGAGCATTCTGAACCCACTTGGTAAGTTATACCCTCTGTGATTCATGGTTTTCCTCTTTCTTTTTTCCATTTTTTTTTTCATTCTCCTGTTCTTAATTGCTTATGGAATGCCTGAACCTGAAGGACTGTTAAACATATTGGGGGTGCAATGAGGGGAGCTGGTGCTGACCAGATTTCTGTCCTTGTAAGGAGTATGATAGAGAGCAAAGCAAGCAAGAATGTTCTTCGTTTGTTCTACGGTCTTGGTTACAAGCTGGAGAATGAGTTACTAAGGGTTGGATTTGCCTTCCACTTCCAAAGGGGTGCTCAAATAACCGTTACAGTGTCGTCTATTAATAAGATGCTGAAACTGCATGCCACAGATGAGGCTGTACCTGTAACCCCTGGCATACAGCTTGTTGAAGTAACAGCCCCTGCAACACCAGAGAATTATTCTGAAGTAGTTGCTGCAGTCTCGTCCTTCTGTGAATATCTTGCGCCGTGAGTATTACAATACTGTGTGCATACAATCTGAACTCTGAGGGGAGTCCCTTTTAAAGTCCTTGGCGGGCGTCTAACTATTTCCAAAACATGTGGGCACCTTTTTATATGTTGCAGGCTTCTGCATTTATCAAAGCCAGGTATCTCAACAGGGGTTGTTCCTACTGCTGCGGCTGCTGCAGCATCACTAATGTCTGATGGTGGGGGCACAACCTTATAGCCTACAAGGTAAATGTGTCAAGAGTAAAAAGTTAAGGAGGTGACTGTCGGTTCAATCTTTTCATAGCAATTGTGTCTGTCGGTTCAACCTTTCGCTGGATTTTGTTGCAGGTATGCTCCTTTTTACATGTTCCATTCTGTAGTTAGTTAGGTTCTACAACCTTAAAAGGCAGTGAAAGTTTGAGACAAACACCAGTTCGTGTCTTCATGTTTATGGTGAAATGTTATCCATAAGTTCATCACTGAATTTGTCGACGTGATTCTTCTGAACTGTCCCTCCTCTTTTTTTCTTACTCCCCTAGAATTGCAAGTCTGTTGGTGATGGACATGATGGTTATATATATAGTAAAAGGTGTGACCAGTCAAGGTAATGGCAGCAGAACGGTGCTGAAAGGTTTGGTGAGATGGGAGAGGGCCCTTGTCCTTTGCATTAGTTGCTGCATTGAGACTGTCGCAACCTCTCCTACAATAGAATTCGGGTTGAAAGAAAAGGCATGGCTGCGTTCTAGCATTGAACGTCAGCCTAGACTTGCTCCCAACATTTCATTTGTTCATGCCCCAATCTCTCTCAGCAGGTCGTTCGTTGTTGCCATATCTGACTGCTTTGATCGACCCGTCAATGCTGATCCATCATCAACTTAGACATTCTTTTCGATTTCTCTTTGCCTCAATTATTAGATCTGTGAAGCCTGAAGGGTTGATTTTCAAGCATGGGCAAAGACAATTCGTTAGGAATTGGTCTGTCTATCTGTTGTCTGATGAAGAGAGGAAATATGAGAAAGTGAGTTTGGTGTCAATGCCAGGGGCGGTTGACTCTGTTGAATAGATGACGTGCAAAGAAGCAAACCGAGTGTCAAAGCACATGTTGGGTCCTTGGGACAAGATTTGATAAATTATATATAACTAGGTGGCGATGCCTCGCCTTGTCGCGGGGCGGAGATGGTATATGAGCATGTAGTGACCCGTTATGGTGTTTGTTTGTATTATTAGTCTAAACTTAATTTTTTTATTAGCAGTTTTGTTAGTAATATTGACTTGACATTACGATATTAACTGAGAAGAGATATATGGCGGTCAACATCCAATTTAAATATTTTTGAAAAATTTGGCTAATAAATGATATTTACCTAAACCCAAGTAGACCCATTAATTAAGGGTAGGGTATGAGTGACGTATATATGGGTTTGAAAGTTTGTATATGAAAGTTTGTATATGGGCTTGGATAGGGTATGAATATGTACTTACATAATCTAAATGTGTATGAGTTGGGTATGGATACCCATTTATTCGAGGATTTTTTAATTAAACATACACAAATTAGACATATTTGTAGAACTTCAAAAGTTTAGGCACCAAAATGTCATACGCAAATTTAGATACTAAAATGTAATGTTCAATCAATATTTTGGGGACTTATGTGCCAAAAAAATAAATTTAGGTTATAAATCTAAAAATCTATTAAGTTTAGGTACTGAACTGTAATTTGTATATTTGAGGCTTAATTCTTTTTTTTTTTTTTTTTTTTTTCGTTGAATCAGTTGCTTTTATTTCAAGTAAACCGATACAGCGAAGCGAGAAGAATCTCGGGAACAGCGACAATTTCTACCGTAACAAGCTACTAACAACTAGGCAACTACCAGGAAACAGAAAAAGAACCAAAAGTGAAACTTTCTACAAGTATCCCAGCTCTACTAATATGTCCCTGTAACTATTATTTGATATGTGTAGATACCTAGCTAAACATTCCATATTTAATTGTCGAAAATTCTAGCTCGGGTGAAAAATAAAAACTTTAGGAAGAAGCAAAATGAATACAAACTGGAACTCGCTTAAATTTCACGCCTTCAAATCTCATAGTGGAAAATAATTAATTTCTAATAAGTAATAACCATATTTATTTATTTTTATTTGGACTCGACATTGAGCTGAAAAAGTTAGTGGTTCATGGTTCAATTATTAATTCTCTAGACTGTTGGTAAGTTGCATGGACCCGTTCATACTTGTGATTAGAATACATAAAAGTTGTATACTAATTACGGCTAGACGAAGAAGGCAAAGAAAGAAATAAATAAAGAGTTATGGAAGGCGAGTGAAAAATGAAACGAAAAGCAAGTAGATGGAAAGGTTTTGACCAATTTTTTTAGCTGGTCGTCAATACAACAGTCAACCATTTTCACCGTAGCAATTTATTGACACTTGTTTATGTAGATGTCGCCTAATTTGTTGCATGTAGTTAGTAGAAGCTTGTTTAGTACCCCGTAAATGTACTAAATGAGTTTATAAAATCGCTCCTGTAATATTTTAGAGTCATCTCTCTTTTATCATTTATTTAATGTTTCACGCAATGAGCAAATATAAAATGGTCGAATCTTCTCCTTCAGTTGAGTAATACAACATCTTGCATGGTACAAACTAAATTTATATTTTTTATTATGGTAGATTGGATTTATGTATTGATTCAAAAGGATTGGGATTGGATTCATGGATTCAAGTGAAATCTAAACATTAAACCAATATGTAAATTTTTAAAAAATTGTAGGTACGAAAAGCTCATAAAATTTAGATAACAAAACATAATTGTTCAATAATTTTACGTTAAAATTAAATTTGGGGTATCAAAATGTAAAATATTTAGGTTAAAATTAAATTTGGGGTATCAAAATGTAAAATGTATATCATAGTAACTAAGTAGTAATTTAATTAAATTTTGGTATGAAAATGTAAAAATGATAGTTGCCCAATCAACTTGCAAGATTAGGCAACAGTAACTCAACTTCTTCTTTATATATATTAATAGTTAATTGATAATGGAAACTTTAATGAAAACTTTAAGCTATATAGGTTGGTTTTTTAGTAAGTGTGTTTGGTAAATGATAAAAGATCAATTATTCAATTTAACCCAATAGCACCATATAGTGTTAGTAAACGGTTCTTGACAAAGTGCATCATTTGAAAGTAAACAACTAACTAAATCACGAATAATTGTTAGTACACAAAAATAATATTTCTCATCGTTTACAATATTAATGTACTTTAATTTAGCAAAAAATTTTAAATATAATATTAAATCATGAATGATAACAAAAATTAACAAAAAGTATTTTATTATAAATATTTTTCTTAAAAAGGATCCATCCTAGAGAAATTCGGAAATTCCTGACTATGCTCCTGTGAGCAAAGGTGCAATACTTTTGTATAGCGTCCCCTGAACTAGGGCTGGCTATTTGGTTTGGGTTTTTTGGTTTTACCCGAAACCGGACCGTATAATCCGGACCGGATAGTAAACAATCCAATCCAATTTTTGGGCTTAGATTTGAGGTAAAAACTCGTTTGGGACCGGATCAAAAGCTGGATAAGAGAGTTAAACACCCAAAATTTAAGAGTAATTAGCATAAACGGTCACAAATATTTGCAGTTAGTACAAAACTTAACCAACTCCTCACCCTTTCAGGCCTTAGGCCATGCAAATCCACACAAGCTCAATATAAAATCAAAACCGAATTGGGACCGGACCGGGTTAAAACCGAACTGTATCCAATCCAATCTTTGGTCTGTATATTTTCGAAAAGACCAGACTGGATCAAATCAATTTGGACCAATTTAACTGGACCGTATAGCCACCCCTACCCTTAACCTCGTATATTTCATGATGTCCATATATCCATAGGACTAACGGAGCCCATCGCGTTTTGATTGCTATCCACTATGCTTGATAAAAATGTGTATCCGGTGGCGCATTTTAATGAATTTTAATAGAAAAAAGTGCCTCAGGGCATATAATACATATTCATTATCCTAACTCAATTAATTTCAGTTTTATCCATATTTTAATGAATTTTAATAGAAAAAAGTGGCTTAGGGCATATAATGCATATTCATTATCGAAAATTATACATGGATAATATTTTTTTTATAATTTCAACAAACATGTCTACAATTATATGTATATTAACATTACAAAATAAATAACTAGAACGAAGAAATTAGTTCAAAACAATACAATTTAATGAAAATATTATATATGTTCGATAAATATAAAATATCTTGAGAAAACAATAATGATTTATTTTTAAACAAACTACATATATGTGTGTAATCGGGTGGGTTCGGGTTGGATAGCAATCGTATTCATCCATCACCTGTAATATTCGAGTTTGAGTTTTACTCATAACTATTAAAAATTCTTTGGAGTTGAGTTTTAGCCTAATCGATTAAATAGTAAAATTTGGACTGACATACACGGATATGGTTATTTTTGCCATTTCTAAATTATATAACAGCTGTATCCTATTTCCAAGATGGCAATGAAATGAAATAATAAAAATCTGTGAACTATCACTATCAGTCTGTGACATTGATACTCATGGCTCCAGTAACTCAAGAGATGAGCCTTTATAGAAACTTCCAAGTGAGATTGACAAGTTGTGGAAATGAATTCAAGATAGCTTTGCTAGCAAACTAGCTAGCATGATGCCTCCAAGTTTGCTTTACGTATAAAGAAAATGACTAGTTGTGGAACTATTCTACATTCACACAAAAGGACGTTATACAGAAACCCATAGACAAGGGGAAATATGTTGGATCCAAAATCATGTTCATAGGACAACAATAACTTCCCATAAAGAAGGAAATATATTTCTATGATATCCATAGAAGTTTTTTAATAAAGATTTTGATACCAAAATTAATATTCAAGAGGAATATTTCTAAGCTACTTTTAAAATGTATTATTTATTGGGTTTGGGATACTTTAGGAGTAATAAGCGTTCACAAATTTTTGCACTTAGTATAAAATGGTCACAAATCTTTAATTTGTAACGATATGGTGACACAAATTTGAAATTGTATGAAATGGTCACATATGTTTAATTTGTGACCGTTTTGTATTAAGTGCAAAGATTTGCTATTGAGTCGTTATAAATTAAAGGTTTGTAACTGTTTTGAGGGTGTATCGTGTGTTCGTCCAGTATATGATACTAACCACTTAAACGACATATGTTGAGTCGTGTGTTCATCGATATACTTACTTTGTCGAATAAGAATGCCTCTGTTTACCTTTCAATTTCGGTACCAAGATAATAAGAAAGTATGCAAAAAAATTTCACAAAAAAAGAACACCTTGTAATCCATTTGTGGGCGTAGAATTCTCTCGCTGCCATCCTTTGTTTTTTGTTGTTGTTATGAGTACTGACATCCTTTTTTTTACGATCATATCATTCCCATACATTAACAAAGCCATCATACCTCGACTAAAGTGAATTGTAACAGTGATTGATCGTTCAAACCTTTGAACGTTGTAGAAAAAAGTCAACAAAAGTTCAATTTGTAAAGACACGTTAACAAAAGTTTGAACTTGTATGAAATGGTCACGCTGTTTAATTTGTGACCGTTTTGTTCTAACTAAAAAATTATGTTACTGTATCGTGACAAATTAAAGGTTTGTAACCGTTTTGTACTAAATGCAAAGGTTTGTGACCATTTAATTGATAGCATAATGGGTTTTTCCTATGCTTTCACCCGTATGTTCTGAAACAATATACATAAATTTTGACAAATTATCTGGTATAAGTCAGTAAGTCACAAAGTAATAGTGTTAGTCATCGGACATTGTTGTGTGTTCACCCTCTAGAACCATATAGTCGTTCTTGATTGGTTGGTTGGTTTGCTGCATCTCTTACTTCAGTATCTAAAACATGATGCTCTCCGGCTGATTCGTCGGTATTTGGTGCTTGTATGGGAAATTGCTAGCCATGGCATGAGTGTAAACATGATAAGATCAAGGAATGAATCCACAAATATGTGAGATGTGACTGTTGTTTCTATCTCAGCCGTGCCCTATACATGTGGTGATATATAGTCTTTCCAACTCGAAAGTTATCGTCAATCTTGCTCATGCTGTTGAAGAGGAGACGCCAAAGAAGCTCCCGTCAAAGGGTAATAGTGCTTCCGTGTCTTCCTATCTTTCTTGCCCAACATGACATTTCAAAGGAAGGAAGCACACATCAAAAGTCTGCAATTGTTTTTCTGGATACGTCACTGGGAAAAAATTCTCCGGTAGCTGAAAAACCTGACAGTCAATCAAGTGTGCCGACGACCGATAGACAGCGACTGTGGTTGCCTAGAAAAGTCCG